CCCGCGCTGAAGAATGTGTTGACGGCGCATAAAAGCCACGGCTTTAATACCATTGTCTGTTATGCAGCGCAAGCGGCTTACCCGCCGCTTCACCCCGAACACATTTCAGAGCTTGTCACCGCCGACGTCGGGTCGCGCGGGAAATTTACGGCGCGCCGGCCGTTACGTGTCCTGGCTGAGTCAGCCGGGCCGTCCGGCCGGCTCATGCCTCAATCACGCCGGCGAGCAAAACGACCGCAGGACATCGTGCCACGCGAGCCATTCGGACCCGGTTACGAGCCGACCGTGCGCCGTCGCGCCCGCGGCACGTGGCACGCGGCACGTGCTGTAATCGGGTACACGTGCTGGCCTATCCAATTATTCCTCGCCGCGGGAGTCACCCACGCTCGCGGCCATGAGAGCGAGAGGGGCGGGGAGGAGGGGGGGGGGGGGGGGAGCCGATGAAGGGGTCCGACAGACGCGGCAGTCTGGGAATGATCAGCTGACCGAGGGCCGATCGGACGCTGGATTGGGGACAGGCCGCCGCCTCAGGTCATGTCAAAGTTGGGTCTCGTGCTGCTCAGTGTGACCTGACCACCAGAAGCAATGCTGCATGGTTGTCTTGGTGCTAGTCAGATAAATATCTGATGATGGGCTATGGACAGGCCAATGAGATAGCGTTTTAAGATTGAATACGTAAGGTCGATGTGTGAGCAAAAAACCATTTTGCCTGCTTTGCACAAAAAAATAGCATGTTAAAACATCCATACCCGTGGGGTGTGCGATTACGTATTCATCGCATACAAAAAGTGTCTCACCTCAAAATGTTCTATGCGATAAAAACCTCAAACCACTAGCATTTTCTTGCGTTGCTAGGTGGGTGCATTTGACGTCATTTGGTGGACCTCCGGCCTGCATCACCTCCCGTGGTAAAGCTGGTAACGTGCTGGCCCGCTGTATATGGTAACGTGCTGGTCCGCTGAGACACCGAGTCTCTGGAAATTACAGCTGTTTTTTTTTCAAAAACGTTACCACTGAATTTGGATGTCGTAGCTCTTATTTTCGGCCCAAAATAAACAGCATATTTGACTCGTGTCATTAAATCAAAGCGAGTATCAGACCGTAATACACATGCCCCAATTCGTAACACTTCCCGCACCAATGAGGTTCCGGGTTCCATTCAGTATTAGCCCACCCATAGCGGGGAGGTCTCCGGTCAAATACTCGAGCTGAAACGTCAATTACGCTAAAAGGCTGTGGCGGCGGTGTCCAGTGTGCTTCAGTAGCATGTGACAAATGGCCTGTGATAGACTATACTGCTCCGCCCACCGCGCGGCGGCCGCGTTATGATGTCAACACGCTCAGCACTTGGAGCGGCCCATTACACCGGCAATCGGCAATTGAATGGGGCGCGACCGCGCTGGTAAGCGATCCATGGCCTGCTTAGCTAACTGGCGTGCATCTAGAAAGTGGCGGGTGTGAGGAGGTAATGAGGCCGGGGAAGCAAGGAAACGGCTATGGCTGTGCCGCGAGGCACTCTTGGGTGGGAAGGGGCAATCAAAAGCTGAGTGCGGTACTAGAGCGCGTCAAAGCTCTCGTAACAAGTCAACGTCTTTGACACTTTTGTGAACTTGGATGCTGTTGTCGGCCCCGACAAGTGTCATCCCAATCTGGCCTCTTTGTGTCAGAGCTGGCGCATAACACGGCGTCATGACCGGATCTTCTGTCGCTGACACGTGGCTCGGTGTCAGGCTTGCCGGCAGTGGCTCCCCTCTCTCCGACCCGCATTCACCCCAGGAGCGGTGACCCTCTCTGAGCGGCCAATCAGTCCCTGGACGTCCTCGTGCAGTCACAACTGCACATCCCCCGCCGCGCTGCCCGACAATCAGGGAAATTACAGACCGGCAGCAATGAGTTGGAAAATCCCCTGTCCGGCGCTCTAATAGATAAATAACGCAAATATGGCTGCCGTCCGCCTAAAAAGCCGGCCGTCGCAGGAAGCATCACCGGCGGCTCGATGGATCGGAAGGCCGTATATTGTGCCGGCCGTCGGGCGCCGTCGGGCGCCGGGCTGGGCGCCGTCGGACCGCGTCCGACCGGCGACAGCATTATTCAGCGGCCGCCCGGCTGAGGGACAGGCGGCGCGGCCGACAGCCGGCGCCGAGACGGCTCGCTGCTCCCGGCCCGGCGCCGGCTCCGGCTCCTGCCCGAGCCTCGGCCCCCGGCTCCGCGAGCCGACAGCCGACGGCTCGCTGCTTCTGGCCTCCGCTCCGGCTCTCGGCTCCCGGCTCCGTGCGGTCAACAGCTGGTGCCGGACAGCTGCTGGTGCCGGCAGGACTGCTTCCGGCTCCCGGCCGGCTCTGGGCTCCGGCTCCGGCTCCGGTTGCCGCGACGGTCACGACGAGACTATGTATGGCGTGGCGAAGTCATGCGGTGGGATCGCTGGATTGATGGAAGCATGCGTAATACTTCATCTTGGCCTTTCCACTTGTTTGATGTTTGGTTTCAATACCATGTTTTAGACGTACAAAAGATATACAACGTCAGACTGTATATATATATATATATATATATATATATATATATATATATATATATATATATATATATATAATATACACAGCACATGCCTTTGTGTGTATTATACCTTATAATTTTGTATAGCTATCATTTCACCCATACACGTTACATTTCTCTCTCTCTCTCTCTCTCTCTCTCTCTCTCTCTCTCTCTCTCTCTCTCTCTCTCTCTCTCTCTCTCTCTCTCTCTCTCTCTCTCTCTCTCTCTCTCTCTCTCTCTCTCTCTCTCCCTCGCCCCCTCCCTACCCATCTCTTTACCTCGGTTTCCCATGTCCGCATGTGACGGTATTGATCGCGGCTTCGGAGGGTCGCCCGAAAAGGCCGCCGCCGGCTCCGAGTGTGATAAATGACGTGAACACACCCACAGAGTGCGGCGACGGTAGGGCGCACCGTGCCACCTGGCTAGCGCCTCCTGCCCGGCCTCACTCCGGCCTGGCCGGTGCCTCCCACCCGGCCTCACTCCGGCCTGGCCGGCGCCTTCCGCCCGGTCTCGCTCCGGCCTGGCCGAAGCCTCCCGCCCGCCCTCGCTCCGGCCTGGCCGACGCCTCCCGCCCAGCCTCGCTCCGACCTGACCGACGTCTCCCACCCGCCCTCGCTCCGGCCTGGCCGAAGCCTCCCGCCCGCCCTCGCTCCGGCCTGGCCGACGTCTCCCGCCCGGTCTCGCTCCGGCCTGGCTGGCGCCTCCCGCCCGGCCTCACTCCGGCCTGGCTGGCGCCTCCCGCCCGGTCTCGCTCCGGCCTGGCTGGCGCCTTCCGCCCGGTCTCGCTCCGGCCTGGCCGACGCCTCCCGCCCGGCCTCACTCCGGCCTGACCGACGCCTCCCGCACGGCCTCGCTAAGGTCGGCTAGAGCGGCACGTAGGTGCATGTAAGCACTTTATCTTTACACACCCTGCACTCTTTACCTCTTTCTTTCCACATTGTCCCATTGCAGCCTCACGCTGCTTTCAAAATAAAATTTCGATCATACCGGGAGTCGTAATTTACCATCCGTGTAAGCCGTGAGTGGTGGATATAATTGCTTCGACTTCAATGTCCAAATATTGCATGATCGTTCGTTAAAGTTGTTTTTGTTTTTGTGCCAGTGTTTGCAACAGTCTGGTGCCGTTTTGCCCCGGAGACAAGGGACATGTATTGTACCATGTGTGCTGGCAGAATAAACCGGAACAAATTTTATTGGCGTTTAACAAAACTTGAGTTAACTTTGGGACTTGTACTGTACCGCACGTGCCGGGAGAATGAACTGGAGCGGACTCTATTGGCTACTTTAACAGCTCCGCGCTATCGCGGAGTTTAACAAAAACCATTTACAAACGTCGGAATGAAAGAGCCCCAACGTAGAACTCCAACGCCTAACGCAACGTTCGTCGAAAGATCACTGAACAGTCTGCAGCTGGCACTTCATCCGCATTGTTCGCTTGTGCATTGAGCAATTTCACCCAGTACTAGATGTGTGATGTGTGTTTCAGCTAGAATGCTTCGAGGCAGCGATCCAGGCTCTAGTGAACGTTCTGTAACCGTATATGGAACATATTCTCGTACATCTACACATCGTACATCGAACAAACCTATGTCATCGCACGGGCGCGGGCACATTTAGATGGGAGCTCGATGTCGTCACCTAGGTGAGACGCTAGTCCATTTTTACACTCAATGCACTAATCACAAACACAAACAACTGACATCTAGGCGCGGGTAACGCCCACGATCCATCCATTATCGACTAGAATATTTGAAATATCTCGGCGACACGACCGCCGCCGCGGAGCATTAGATGAAGCGATCCAACAACAGCCCGAGGATGCGGACTCAATCCCTAGATACGTCCATGGGTCAGGGCGACAGCGGAGGATTACCGAAGGAGCTCTCCGCCTAAAGCGGTCGGAAGTGCGACCGGTTTCACTCATCTATTGGAATGTCAGCTTTTCTTAATAGGCTGTCCGAGCTGTCAGATCTGAACGCGTGACTCACGAATAGAGTTTTGGGAAATACTGCATGTAGTTAGGAGCTACAATGGCCATTTACAGGGGCCGGTGAGCTTGATACGGTTTGTACTACGGAGGACATTAGGAACCAGGGTCGACCCACAGCGAGAGTGGTCAGACAAATGCCTCAGTCAGAACAACACGGCAAAGGCACTTTGTACGTGCAGTGCCCAATGCCCACGTCCGCCAATAAATACCTCGGCCGCCACCTCGCAGCCGAGCTCAACAACCGCAAGCGTCCGTCCGCTCGCCGTCCGTATCACAAGTCTCGCCGCCCGAGCGTCCGTCACTGGGTCACTTCGGGCCCGAGCGCGGGGCTCCGCGGGCCCCAGCCGGGCCTCAGTGGGCCCGCCGCCCCAGCCGTCCGTCAAGGCGCCGCCTCCGTGCCGGGCGCGGGGCCCGGCGGCGGCGCGGCGGCGGCGCCCAGCCGTCCCCAGAGCCGCGCCCAGTGCAGCGGGTGTCACCACCAGCGCGGCTGCATCAGCGGGTGCGAGTAGACGGGCAGCGCGCCCATCGTCGCCATCACCGAGGTCGACACGGACACGGCCGAGAAGGGCAGCAGGTCGAGCGCGGCGCCGAACGGCAGGCCGTACAGGTCGGGCTTGAAGGCGGCGCCGGGCGAGCTGCCGCCGCCGCCAGCTGGGCACGGCTTGCCGTCCCGTACCAGCACCGGCACGGCCACGCGCCGCGGCGAGCCCAGCGGCAGCAGGCTCAGGCCCTTCTCCTGGTGCGCGCGCTTCGTCTTGTAGCGGTGGTTCTGGAACCAGATCTTGACCTGCGTCGGCGTCAGCTGGATCAGGCTGGCCAGGTGCTCGCGCTCGGGTGCCGAGAGGTAGCGCTGCTGCCGGAAGCGCCGCTCCAGCTCGTACGTCTGCGCCTTGCTGAAGAGCACGCGCCGCTTGCGCTTCTTGGCCGGCAGCGAGGCGTCGTCGAGCGTCGCGTCGACGGCGACGTCCAGCTCCTCCTCGTCGTCATCGTCGTCGTCGCGGTCGGAGGCGGCCGGCGCCGGCTCGGAGGGCGCGGGGCTGTCCGGCCCGGCGGCGGCCGGCGGCGAAGCGACCGGCGTCGGCGAGGCAGCGGCCGGCGGCAGGTCGAGCGCCCCTGCAACGCGCAGAAGGGCGGACGTCAGGCGGGAGCGTCCCGTTCCGATGGCAGAGGACAGCGGCGACAGCGTCCAGGCCGCCCCAGCGCCGCGTCCCATTGGTGGGAGGCGCAGGGGTCGCCGCCGCGGCTACCTACCGGTCAGGTGGGGGCGCCTCAATGAGCACAGCCATGTGTATTTTCCAGCCGACTGGCTCCAAATGGCGCCAGTGTGGGCTGGTGACAGTTCCAGGCCAAACTGCGCCGGGGCTGTTTGTCGCTATTCAAATAATGACGCGCTCTCTGTCTGTCTCCTTCCACGCTCCTATGCTGCGGGACCGCCACACCGCTCCCGTCGCTACGCGGGAGTCTGTGAGCCTGCTTGACAGCTGTACCGGAAAGCGGCATTGGGATCTGTGAGTGGCCGTGTGATTGGTGTCAAATGGGCCTCGGGCGCGGCTGCCCACAAATGACGTCGGGCGGCTGTCCAGTCCAGAGCGCTGACGCGGCTTGGTCCCGGTACAGCTGCGCAGCCGGGGGTTTTCCAATGGGGACCAGACTTTGGGATAGGAAAACCGCCAGCTCCAGCGGCCTCGTTCACGGCAAGCCGGAAGGTGTTTGTTTCCGATTTTGTAACCGTGACGATGTAGGCTCGAGTCATGAATATTCCGAATTTCTGCGTTCTCCAGGGAAACCAACGCTAGAGGTGTCGATAATGGAGATTCGCACGTTACTTCTAATTCTGTGCACGTGAGTCGTTATATAATGTAAGATCGGAAGCGACATGAATGACAGCATGACACCAAAAGCAACAGCGAGGCTAGGGCCAAAGGACTGATGCCATGCTTCAAAGGATTAAGCGATTGCACCAGTCCCACATTATTTATGCGTAATGTTCCAAAGGCCTTAAGAGGCTCAAAGTTGAGAGCCAAGATGCCATCGAACCACCGAGGCTGGTTCTGTCTGCTGGTTTTTCAAGCTCACGACGGTCCAGAGCTGAGCGAAAAAAGCATCAGCTTAACGAAAATACGAGACCAGCGAACCAGGGTTGTTGGTTCATGATATAAAGGATGCGCAAAGTGTAAGGTGATCGAACCGTCATTTAGAGTTGAAGCATTAGGCCCGGCAACAAAAACAATAGCCTCATATAGTACCATATAGCCTCATATCAATAGTTATAAGAGCCTTGTTACGATCCCGCCTGGCAGAACGATCAATTGCGTGACCTGACGATCCGAGCCACCGGCCCGAACCAGTATTATGCTGATGACATCTTTTACCCGATCACTAGCACACCCCTATAACATCACATCATCTGTGTTCGGCTACCGGGGGGCGTCCTCGATTGGCCATGGCCTATTTTGTCGGATGTGGTAATGACTGTGTTGCCCGTTAAGCCTTGTTTTCTGCCCTGTGTATGAGCCGATGCAGCATATGTAAATAAAGATGTCATCCAAATCTTCTGCATAAATATCAACGCCGGTCAGTAAATAGGACTTAACGGTCATCACCATCATACATCGACTCTGCCTAGGCCCAAAGCATGTTAAGCTCGCGGCTCTCATCCAACATCTCCCCCCGGTGGTGCGAAGAGGACGACCACCAACCCCGGCCATCAGAGCACGACCAGCGCGGCGCTCCTCCAGACGCCGCCGGCGGCCCGGCGCGGCCGCGGCGGACCCGACGCGGCTGCGACGGACCCGACGCGGCCGCGGCCGGCACAACTCAATCTCCACCGCCGGCCGGCATTGTCCAGCCGTCGAGTCATGGTCAACGCATCGGCATTGTTCTGTGGACCCGAACGACGCTCATTAGGGCACCCGTCGGCGGCGGCGGCGGCCGACGGCGCGCCCCCGCCGGGCCCGTGACAAATCGCGGCCCACATTAGCCCCGTCACGTGACGGGGCGGGTGCACCGCCGCTAAAATCTTCTAGCCGCAATCGGCACCAATTTATGGTCAACAGGCAATTCGGCCAGTCATGAAAAATGCAGCGGAGAGGGCGTGAGAAAGTCAGCTCTCAATTTGCTTCGAATCAGCCACCGGCGGAGCTCATAAAACGTGCCCGGACCCGACCGATCAAAAGGGCCATTTAATAATGCCCGCCAGAAATAAATGAGGCTTTTCGATATTATGAGCTTTTCGATATTACGTGTTAATAAAATCGTGCAGCCGTGTCGGCCGGCCCGGTGGGCCTCAATTGAAGCAACAATGGATCAATTAGGGGCGGCCTGGCACCGCACGCTCGGTCCAATTAGGGCAAATCACATTAGGGCGACTAATGGTGACCGGACCGGTCTCCGCGGATGATGCTCCGGCGTTTGATGGACGGTGGGCAGCCGGACGGCAGCGGGCGCGGCCGGCGCAGCCGGGCGTCCCCCGCCGGGTGATGGATGAGGGTGGGGGTGGGGGTGATCCGCTGACCGGCCGGACCGCTTCAGAGGCCGCCCGACATCGAAGGGGGGGGGGGGCGTGGTGATGCCGCGACATTCACTGCGTGTTCTTAACATTCACTCTGGTTGTAGACAGCTTCTGAGACTGGTGTGAATTTGTTCGACATTGACCGGAAACAAAACCGTTACAAGTGGAAGATCTTCCAGCACGCATTCTGGGCAGCTCTATACGGATTCCAACGAATAAAATACTTAACAGGTATATACATAATGAACAAATATACTGTGTTTATCCATCTGCATAAGGTGAAGTGCGCGGTGAATTAACAACATCTCTTGGTAAAACTGCATATATGAACGGTCGCAGCCTTCTGTACATCATCTCTGCTTTATGACCAGAAGTTTATCATTATCAGCCTCAACCTTCTGCGATTATGACAGCGGGGATAGAAAAAACGTCGAGCCGAGCAAAACTCAATGCCGTGCTCTAATGCACTTCGCGTTACCTGGATGTCGGTTCTAATAGGGGCCTATCAGAGTTAAACGGGCCCGCGTTCAGCGCTAAAATATTTGGAACAGTGGTATTCATTGCTAAAAACATGTCGCCGTTGACAGTGCTGATTTGAAAACATTGGCCGCAGTTGTTCTTCGGTCTATTATGCGAAGTAACCGGTTGTACAGGGGGTAATCTGGCTGACACAGAAACAGCGGGTCAGTGTGGCCGCTCTTAATGTGAATACGGATTGGTTTGGGCCGGATGGCAACGCTCATGTACATGATCAGCATATCACAATTTTGTCCTCCGGTTCCAACACACGACAGTGATGAATGTTGTGGTCACTTGGGTGTCGACCAAAACACGACGTTATGTACACTGTCATGAAGGTATGCCCTGTCAAACGCTCAAAAGGTTTTCGGAACATTTTAGAAACACAAAATACTTAGGTATTGAGAACACAAAATACTTAGGCATTGAGAACACACCATACTCATGTGTCAGATTCCAGTCAGCTTATACATTTCTTCCCTTTATGACTGCAGCACCGTGCCAAAGTCAGAGAGCCGGATGTAACTGGCGGTAATTACCTGGGACTATTCTGAGCCTCGCATCTGTCATGGTTCATAATATCCCTTGTTGGCGTTGGTTAAACACACCCTTAATTGCTTCTGCGTGTTTAAGTAAAATTTCAAAAGCATTCACGAAGTTTTTGTTATGTGTCTAGAAGGATACGGTGTAGTGCCTACGGTTGGTGTTGTACATTTATTGAAATGATTGGTATTCGAGAAGTGACATTTGCTGCTATTCAAACAACCCCGAATAATGGGATTCCAGCAAGAAGCTAATGACAAATATTAACTGCATCCGTTAGAAAATGGTTCTGAAACACAATTATTTAAGTGACATTGTTACCTGTGGTAATGCGGTGACCGTGTTCGTTACCTCAGACACCCTAACCAGAATCCTACCGGTATTGCTGCAGACGTTGCAAGCTGGATGAGCCTTTTCCACCTTCTGTTTACAGTGTCATCACTCTGTTTGAACAGTTCAGTACTTCTCCTTTGCATTCAACTGCCAGACATGCTCAAACCCACTGGAGTCGGACTGGCCGTCTTTCCCGCAGGCGGTGCGTGATTTCTGTTGATACACACTTCACCACGCGAAGTACTGCTCAACATCACTTCTTATCCGCGCTAATAGAGTTTCAGTCTTGAAGCACGTGTTTGCTTTGCTACTCAGACCTCGTTGCCATATTTACCCAGGGCGCAACTCGCTTTTAATCCTGTCACGAGCTGACTACCACTTATCGCTTAGCAGTGCTATGAGCGCCCAAATCATCCGATTTATCTGGCAACCCTGACTCATAGGTCTGTGAGCAAGAAGACGTAGTGGACCGTGGTCAAACTGCATCTCTTGGATGTTCAGCATCATCCATGTGATCATTCATGCAAAACTGACTAAGGAGCGATTTGGTACGCTCTCGTTTGGAAACGTTGTTTCCGTCCTACACTAATAAGGCAAGACTTTTCCGTTCAAATACTTTGACACGAGGGGATCGTGCATCGGGCGCGCTTGGCGCTGGCCGCCGCCTCCAACAGCTTCGGCAGGCGGGGCATGGCTCTGGCACTAAGCAACAAAACCAGACGTGGGCCATGGCTGTGTACCCCTCTACGGTAGCCGAGCCGGTGGAGGTAACCCAGCGGCCCTGGACGCGAGTTCCAGGGCGTACACTGTGTTGAACGACCAAAAGAGGGGGGGAGAAGGTGCTTGCAGCCAGCTGACTTGCAAGGGGGAGTCAACTGCACGAAAAGGGACTGCGACGTAGGAAATCGCATATTACAAGGAAAAGTTTTATTTAGTCACAGAATGGGTGCATTGTCCCACAAATTTTATTTGCGCGAGTAAAATGTACTTGCTGTGCTTTTAAATCGCTTTTAGTCGGAGGCCATCCGTCCCAAACGTTAGACCTGGCGGCAAAATGAGGACCGCCTGCGCGGAAAAGAAACCCCCGCACCCGAGGCCAGCTAACGGCCGCGTCGCGCCACTGCAGACTGAACACGGCCAGGAGGCGGTGTCCTCACTCCTGAGCCTGCCGTGGCGCCTGCTGTAGCCGGCGGCGCGGCCAGCAGGGGGTCAGTTCGGCTGGCGCGGGCCGGCCGGACCGGGGGCGCCGCTGGCACGTACCAGGGCCGGTGAGCGTGGCGGCGGCCGTGCGCTCGGCGCAGCTGGTGTCCCGCAGGTTGAGGATGTCCCGCACCGAGAACCGGGACGCGTTCCCTCCCGGCAGCGACATCTTCATAGTCCGCCGGCGGCCTGGCGCGAAGAAACGGCGTAGCGTCAGGGGGTCATCCCAACGGATCAGCACGCACACAGCGGAGCGCAGGCACGCCCGCAGCCCACGCACACACGCACACTGCTGCGTACCTGCACGGAGCACACGCACGCAGTGGCACACACGCATCACACGCACACACGCACACGACTGCGTCACTTGACTTGGCCAGCACACGAACGTACCATACACAGCTGCATATTGGCGCATGCACGTGCTGCTCACTGATGCGTACATGTGCGTTGCACATGGGTACAGTTTCACACCATCATAGGCATGTCCGCACAAAGCTGTGCCACTATCGGATACGCATTATATAACATCCAACGCCGCAACAGCCCAGCCGCCCCACCACAAACCTGGCTGCCTTCCGTTAACGTTCGGGCCGTTTCCCAATGTGTCCCCAACCACGCCTCTCTTTCCTCTCCACCGTCACTGCAAAATCGTTTAATGTCACCCAAATATATATCCGCGAAAACGCGTGGGACGCTTCCCTCTAACCCTGTCAATATGGCCCTTGCCCTGCACTACTCCTTGCAACATGCATTGTTTTCGTATCTTTCCCGTTATGAGCCCAGTTTCAGCTCACACAGCACACAGACGCCGCTGCGTTGCCCCACACATGCTCGGAGGTGACTTCAACCCGCTGTCACCTCGACACCCTCTCGTGGGTCGCTCTCGGGCGTCAGCAGTTCGCTAGTGCGAAATGCGCTCGACTCGACCAGCAGGTGGAAGGGATTGCCACTGAAGGGGATTGAAGCAAACCCGAAATCACGAGCACATCCCGCACCAGACGCGAACGTGATATTCGTTGGCAGGGCCAAAAAAATATACGCTTGAATATCCTGCCCGCCAAACGCGGGCTGTATGAGCGCTCAGCACAGCCGTGCGCTGCACGTGCACCGCGGCCACAAGTACCCGTAAAGAGACGTCCTCCCACAGCACGCGCCAACATACGATCCGCGATCAGAACAACAATGCATGGTATGATACATGGCACATACGGATCATCAAGTGCATGGCGTTCTCATCACGTGTAACGCTTGAGCATGCGCGAACAAGTCCGTGGAGTCCACGTGATCAAGTGAAATGGTCCGATCGTGCCAGTATGCATTAGGCTTGACTTGAACA